TCCACATTACTCCATCCATAAATATCTTATCACAGTTTGCATCCAAATCCACCGCTATGCTCAGGGAAATCACAGCACATTTGACAGTGAGAAACAAGGCTGATAGAGACATTGAGAATGAATTTTCTTTTGGTAAGTGTTACGGCGCTATCAACTGCACAAGGTCATATGAGCGCACAGGACACATTTAACTTTTTCAATCAGAAGGATATTTAGAATTTTGCCGCGGGTGGCGGTCGAAGCCTACTCTTATTGATTTTAGGCCACCAAGGGATCTTAAACGAGCGCAACTAGCAAACAGGACCTAAAATTTTTCACCCTTGTCCAAGAAGGCTAGGTGTAGTTCTTTCCTACCAGAAGATCCGGGGTGTGGCTGAAAGACAGCAGTAAGGAGCCAAGGAGTAGCAGTAGAAAGGCTGCAGAAAGAGTCAGGAGCCCTGAGGAGGGGGGCAGAAAGTGGAGACGAAAGCAGATGACAGAACATTGCTAGAGAGCAGGAAAGGAGACATTTTTAGAGAAGAAAATGTTTCTGTTGCTACCCGGATTCGAACCCGGGACCTTTAAATGAGAGGTGACCACCTTAACCTCTAGGCTACAAGAGCCCCCTAAAAATGATTTTTAGAAAAGCGATACTGAAAGAAGGACATAGAGAAAGGGAAATATTTAATAAATTTGATACAATAAAGATGGAAGTGATCGGAAAGGTGTGTGGCTGTCATGTCACCAGACACAGAAATACAAAAAGAGCAAAAGCTCAATGGGATTTTTCAGTGTCGGATGACAACAGTACGTTCAATCAACATCAAGAAAGGGCCCCCCCCCCCCCCCCATCTTCGTCCTGCGACACCCCCCACACCCCATAAGGCCTTTATAGATCAAATGTGAAATGCACCAAGACATCGTCATTAAGTCCCAGAAATCAGCTACCATGGTTCGCCATTCATATCTTTGCTTCAGATGCTCTCAAGAAAGCCACATTATCATGATCTTTCCTAGTCACCTATCTTTTTAGGCTTTCAAGTAAGTTGCTCTGGGTCTACCCCTGCCTCGTTTAAATTTTACCAGTGAGAGCTAGATGTTCAAAGACCGTACGCCTATTTAAGTGTCCAAGAAATTGGAGTTGTCTCTTCCTCGTTTTTAATCAGAAAGTGACTCACACGGATTTCTTAAGAACTACCTCCTTTGATTTCTTTTTCTTTCACGAAATTCACAATAGACTACTAAGAAATGATATTTCTGTTACTTCTATTTTATTTTCACTGACTTTGGTGATTGTCCAGGATTTACAGCCATATAGAGAAGGGTTGACCTCACAAAGCCTAGCAAAATTTGTATTTTGCTTGTTTCACTTTTTCAGGATTTGGCTCATTTCATTGATACTGCTTTTAGCCTCTGCAATTCTTCATTTTGTCTGTGGAACATTTGGTATCAGACCAGATGTAATTATGTATCCTAGAAATTTGAACTGCTGAACCTGTTTGATCTTTTCACCTTTGCTTTTGAGTTGACAAATAGGATTTACCACCTATGACTAACAGAGAATACAAAGAATCTAGAAAAGTCTAGACCACTAATTGTATATTACACTGTAGGACCCCCTCCCCCCATAAGCGGGCATCAGCTGATATTTTTTTTTTAATACAAAAATAAAACAAAACATCATTGCAGAACAGCTGTGACCACCCCCTGAGCATAGCAAATGATTTGGACAAACTTTGCTTTTGACAGTCTCCAATGATATAACTCTTTACGTTTCTCTCTCTCTGTGACAGGAGAATGACAAAAATGAAATGACATGTGAAATGATGACAACTCTCCCTTCACTCCGCACCTTATACTGCATGACTTTCACCTCTCAACAACGCACTCCTGTATTCGACACACACACACCCTGTCTCATACAATAACACATTCATCAATCTCCCCAATCAACTCAAACACTACTCATTGTGGCATGCATAATTTCACATTCATTCAGAGACAATACTAAAAATCACAGTTCGTAAGACGCATGAGCCCCAACCAACACTCAAACATACACACTAAGCACGGGGTGCCTGTTCAGTTGGGCCTAATGCATCCCAAGAACCACATCTCCACACAATTACTCCAAAAAGCATTATCAAAGTCATTCTAATGTAACCCATCCACACTTGCATTATCATCATACACATAAGATGCCTACGGGCAGAACAAACAAGACACCCCCCCTCCCCCCCCCCATGGCAGACGAAACAACCTTCCCGATGAAAGATTTGCGCTGATACTCACGACACCACCATCATCAAAATAATATATATTATGTTTCTTTGTGTCGAGATGGCAACGGCTGAGGACTTGATCACTTAAAAGAAAGAATTTTTCCCTTCCTTGAACGATGCGAACTCGCTTTCACACGTTGAGACTTTACACAGCAGTTTGCAAAGTGTCTACACCCCCCCCCCCCCAATACAGCAGACATTCAAAGACAACGCATTCTTACAAAAGAAAAAGATCTACAGCAACATGTGGCAGCCTCTTATTGAAAGAGTTCAAGATATCGCCACTACTAAAAATTTATATCTACAATGAAAATTCCTTGACATGTACTTAAAGGTTGTGCTAATCTTTAAAAAAAAAAACCCTTGAAAAGAATTTAGGTAAAAGAAAACTTTAGCCCTCCACATACAGGAGCCTCCACTCTCTGTAGGGCCACATGTGGGTCACTGTGATATCATGAGTGAAAGGTGCTTTTAACTTATTTTAAGAGCGGGGGAATGAAATTTACTTTTACCCGAAACTATATTCAGTCGTCCTCATTGAGCATTCTGCCCATCAACTGTAAGACTTGTCCTATGTTCCTCACTACAGGACAAAACACACAAGTCTTGCACCTGATGGTCCATTCTTTCAATAGCGTATGGACTTAACAGCTGATATTGGCCAGATTGGTACAAGAAAAAAAAAAAGAATGCCCCTTTCGATTGTTTCCTGGTAGCAATTCACAACTCACCTCACTTTGTATGTGATTCTCCTCAAATAGAGGCAACAGCTGAGATATTTATAAGCAAATTTACATGCAGCTGTCATCATCAAATGACCGTTTGGGGCCCTGAGTACACACGAGATAATCAAGACTAATAATAAAACCTCTTAATCTTTTTCTATTTGCACAATGTTACTTTACATTATTTAATCTTAAACACATACACTCAAAACAAAACAAAAAAAAGCGCCAAAGCTACATACAGCAATCCCCACACAAATTAACTGCCTGACTGTGCAAAAACGTGAGGACACCCCCCCCACCATCTGATAAATAGATTTTGGTGATCAATTCAAGCCCTGTCCATGAGAACATAAAAGTGACCATACCCCTCCCACACACACACACACAAAACTCATTCACTGGGTTTGTCCAGTTTCTCATACTACATTTACACACATACAAAGCAACAAATCACATCCGAAAGAGAGATACTAGTTCTCCACCAGCCACTCCCCTCAAGAAAGGGCAGAGAATGACATCTGTGTTCGAACAAAGATAGTACAAGACAAGATGGGCCACTCAGCCTAAAAAGTGTCCGCAGGAAGTATGCTCTTTGCTTCAGATGGCGCTGCAGTCTGTTTTGAAGCTCTCTTTCATTTTTCCAGAAGAAGAATAGGAATAGCACCTCCTTGCGTGCGCAGATCGGCTACTGTTCATCAGCAGTTCGGGTACGTTCAGTGCGGAGTTTATAACCATCTCCTTTTCCTCCGGAAGAGGTTTTTTGTCAGCGTAACCATTTTTAAAAAGCGTTCTTCCGAAATTTAGTTCAAAACTTGCTAGTTTCACTTTGATTTTTTAAAACTCAAGTAGGGTAACTCGGTTCGCAAAGAGTGCGCTTTTGTGAAGAGGGCGCCACCAAATTTTGAGGACACTTTTTTAATTGGCTCAAAGAGAGAAGTGGCCCATCTTGTCTTGTACTATCTTTGGTTCGAATAAACTCAAGTACCAGGTCCTCCACACCAGAAAACAAGTTCTTTCATAATAAGTCAGCTGAGTGTGGAAAATATTCTAGGCTGGAGTTGAAGTAGACTTGTATGCATATTATTGTCTGCCATGCAATTTTGGTGGTCTCATGGGTGTCTTCTTCAATGAAAGTTTTACTTTGCACCCTATTCCAGGCACCACATCATTACAAATGAAAAGCAAACTTATCTTTTTTCCCCTCCATTTACCAAGGACTTCGTACACCACTGTTTTCTAGGCTTTGGTAGCATTGAATGTACATACAACTTTTCTTGAAGTGGAAAAAATGAATGTAAAGGGTGAGCATGTAAAACATTCAGCAATGATGACTCTTGTGGTAAAACAAGCAGGCAATAATTCACACACACTTTGATACTCTCTTGCAAACAACAGTGTCATACTTGCATAAGTTTTCATAAATCATAAAAAAAAAAAAAAAGATTTTAAATAGGGACAGACTAGAATAAAAATGTCCCATCACTGAACAGTCAAAAATCCTCTCATACTTTGCTGCTATGTTAAAAAAAAAAACCCCAACGAAACAAGCACTACTTTCACTTTCATGCCAATATCATGATCTTGCACATACATGATGCACTATAGATATGGCCGATAAGGTCTTTAAACTGATAACCCATATCGCCATGTGTGTTGCAACATCACAAAATGAGTCACTTGTCGCATCTACAAGACTGTGTTAAGATAAATATTGGGCAAAACCTCCAATTCCCCACAGCAGTGTGTTTCACAATCCCAAATATCTAGCGGCTATAACTTTGGAACCAACACCACAAGACTCATACTGTTTTCACCTTCAAATAAGGCTTCAACAAATCTTCCATTTAACACACATAATACTGTCAAAATGCGACATGCGACTCATTTTGTCGCATCCATACAAATGTATGTCACACGTTTTTTAAGGGGGAGCATTAACCTACAACAAAGGCATCAATTGATTCTGGCATTAAAGCCACGAAATTTGTTTTGTGTTTTTTTTTTACCTCTCTCGATCTTTCTCTCTCTGGTTCTGCACGCATGCGGGACTATTCCATTTGTACACCTCAACATTCATAGACTGGGACCTCGAGTATATACCCTCAAGACTGACCAAAAAATTATTTAAAAATTCAGTGTTCCCAACAGTTTTTCTTTTACACATTTTTACCATTATTCCCCTCAGGGCTCACTCACGAACAGTAGAAGTGTCTTAAAGTCAGTTATTTGATTTCTAAGCTGGCAATGTGTCCGTGTCCAACTGTGGAAGATGGTGTGACATCCAATCCAAACTTCCATACCAAGAGGAAGGAGAAGAAGGTAGGCAATTTTATAGTCTTCCACTTTGAAATAACCTCACCACAAGAAGAAGGTATGCAATCTATTGTCCTCCACTTCATAACTCACCATGGACGACAGGAGAAAACTAAACCACGGAGGATGACAAGACACGTATAATTAACCACATTACCACAATCTTGTTAAAGTTGCACGTATAAAACCTTCTGCAGCGCGTAGCTCTCTATGGAGCCAGCATGCCTGTGATAAGCACTGATTTGACCGACTCTCTCTCTCTCTCTCTCACATATTTGTCTTGATTCAAACAATATCCGTCAGTTTTGGCTGTCATGTGAGTGATCATGGCAAAACACCATGTGTCCATATTGGAAATGACAAATGCTAATTCATAGCCTCCCCCCACAAGGTAGGAACATTGCTATTCACAAGAAGCACTATTAGAGTCTTTCTCCTTTGGCACAGACATGACTCCGAAGGCCAAAATAAAATCTTCACAAGAGAGTGGCAGGAGAGTGAACATATAGGTCCACCCTTCCCGTCCCGAAAGGTAAAACGATGTATAGATGTATACGTGCTCCAAGTAGGAACATTATGTACCACTGATACAGCGTCCTTATTACATACCCACTTCTGTGTGTGTTTGTGGTGTAGCCAGGGGGGGGGGAAGGGGGAAGAGGAGACACAAGTCACATCATTCGTAGTCTTGACTTTACACACACCGAGATGCGAGTTCAAACTGAGGCATATATAAAACTCCAGGCACACACCGGATGTCACATTTCTCCTGACGAAACCCCGGAACACAACACAGCGCACATGGTCCGTCCTCAGTCACAGAAAAAAACAAAACAACCACACATTAATAATTAATCCACAATCTTGTAGTAGAACTGTTACTCCCGCATGTTTCGACAAGAATAACAAGACTTCTAAAATCAAATGATAAAAATTCCTCCTCTCGAGCACAGAACCTAGAGTGTCTTGAGTCAGCACTCCACACGCAGATTTTTCTTCTCCAATGCAGCACCAGTACGCCAGCAAGCAAAATGTGCTCATTCCGTGGATCTCTGCTACGTCTCGTATATTACAAATACCCTGGGGATGAAACAAGAAACATGTTAAAGTTTAGTTATAGTAAATGATACGGCACTTGCAACACAAATAGGTCATATAAGTACTGAAGATTAGAGGTTTTACTAGAGAGTGACACAAAGAAAAGAAGAAGAGATGTGGACAATATTACATGTTTGATACGATAGAAAAAGCAAACCACACCAGAGCACCCACCAACGACCTGTGAAAGATGTTTGCAACTTTGAGGTAGCGAAACACATGGACTGGACACAATAACGTTCATTCATGTTTGTTTTGTTTGAGTAAAGAGAAGCACACTGACACAATAAACGTCATTTTGGGCTGGCAAAAAGAAAATAGGACATGACAAACTGGAGACGAAAAGTAAAACCTACTAGTGGCACCCTCCGACCACCCGCAGTTCTTTAGAGATTTGAAAAGCCAGAAGGCAAGACAGACAGACAGAAACAATATATATATATATATTCTTTTTTAATATAAAAAAATAAATACAATAATGGCCATTTCCAGGTGGAAAAAAAGTACGAACAGAAATGACTGAAAGAAAGAAAACAAGTGACAACATGGCATGAAACTTCACGTTAACTCGTGCACACCAGGTAATTGGTTCCATTAGTTTTCCCCTAATGATATTAACATGAATCCCGATTTGTTTAGTTTTAGTAGGGTTTTATGTCGCTCGCAACTGCACAAGGTCATATGAGTGCCAAAGGGCGGATGTCAGGAGAGAAATCCTTACAGGGAATCAGGTATACTCTGCTCACCTCTCTAGCCTCAACTTGTGCTCTGCTTCGACTATCAAGGCACCCCCGAAATAGCAGTTCACAAGAGAGTGACAAACATACAAAAAAAGTAGAGGAAAATGATGATAGTAAGGATGAGGAAAGAAAAAGTAGCAGTTCCCTGGTTTGGTCTGTGGAAAGGCTAGAATCAACTGTCAAAACCATGTCTCGTTTTCAGCATAAACAGATTTTAAAAAGCATGCAAAACAAACCTTACTGAACAAATAATGTCAAGGAACGGCCTCGGGGTAGAGCAAAAAGTGATAGTGAAAGAGAGCATGTGAGTGACCCAGTTCAAAGGACCAGGAAAGAGAGGGACAAAGTGAGGTTGAAAATCTAACAATAATGGAGAACTGATTCCAGAAAACCACAAATCTAGTTTTACTCGCTCATGTTTTCATATATAGTGATAAGCCATCATGATGTCTACATAAGGTTTCCAACATAGGTGCGCTACACTAAACTGCACTCTACTCAAAAAGGTTCTCAGGTTGTATCTCCAGTACTATGTCAAACAGTTCAAGTGTATTAAAAAAGATTATAACCCCCCCTCTTCTCCCAATCTCAGCTCTACCCCCGACCCCAGCCTCCTCCACTTTGCGCCCCCTGTTGGTCCGACTCATTCTCCCAATCTCAGCTCTACCCCCGACCCCAGCCTCCTCCACTTTGCGCCCCCTGTTGGTCCGACTCACCCCCCCCCCCAAACCACAGTGAAGAGTGTCAAAGGACGCTTTGGTGCATAGAATACACCAATACACCAGATGTCAAATCTGAATGGTTTACGATGCCCCAGATAAACACCAGTTGTTGATACATGTTGCACTCATGTGAATTCGTGTTATGTGATGCGAAGAGGAAGTTAGTTTCATTGCTTAATGTTGAAGACAGGGGCTGACTAACCAAAAACTCGGTCAAACCCTGTTTCAATGTGTCAGGAAATTAAATTACCCATAACGACAAATTTTGATCACCACCATGTTTCTGTGTTAATTATCCACAAGTTGGCGGATTCGACTCCAAGTATCACTAAATCATCATCAGGGGATCTGCGCAGCAACAAAAATGAAAATAGATCTTGATTTTCGAGGTTGGGAGCCTTAGTAGGACACGTCAACCTCAACGACTGTACATTGCTGAATGGAGAATATTAAGGCCATTGTGATTTCTTTTTTTTAAAAGGTGCCGTAACGTTTGACGTTGAGCCATATAGTACCCGACAGCGAGTGAGTTAAGAATTTTAGTTTTAGTTTAGTAGAGGGTTTTACGGCCCTCGCAACTGCATAAGGTCATATGAGCACCAGAAGATTAGAGGTGTTACAAGAGAGTAACAAACATAAAAAAGAAGAAGGGGAGATAAGGGCGATAGATGTTTGATAGGAAAGAAGAAGCAAACCACACCAGAGCACCCACCAACCACCCACGAGCGAGTTAAGAGAATGGTTGTGGAATTGATGAGTGGAGTAAGGAAAGACAAGGAATGGGACAGGATTTAAAAAAAGATGGTTTGGGAGAATTTTCTACACTACATGTCAATGACAGTGGCCTGTGCAAAAGGTCAACTCTCACCTTCCATGTCTAAGGCAGAGCAAACATTATTGTTGGTGCTGGAACTGCTGATGCACTGGGAAAATAGCAACAAGAACAAAACATGTCAGAATAACGAGATCACAGAAAGCCATTCCAGATTTGCTAAACTTTTGAGTTCTAGTAAGAGTGTTACGCCACTTACTAAACAAATAGCTCATATAAATGCTGAATAATAGGTGTTATAAAAGAATAACCTACAAAAGAAAACGCAGAGAGATAAGACGAATGTCCAGGGAAGAAAGAACAAACCACACTAGAACGCCCGTCAACCACCCACAAAATTCGGACAGGCTAAAACTATGATCATTAATTCAAATGAAAGAAACACCCCCCCCACAAGTCCCTCAGTGCAAAAGATGCTGAGTCTAATAATTTACGCGCCTGGTGAAATGCACTTTTACCAACAATAATATTACAACACAACCTATAATAGGGTTTGACACAAAAGAATTGGAATATGAATCCTCCGTAGAGGTCTAGATCTATCGTGATCTATATAAATCTAGTCTAGTAGAACAAGTGAGTAGATGAATCCACATCCAAGCAATCAGTCAACAGACGAAATTCAAAATGGCCGCTCGAGCATGAAACAGAAAGTAGATCTAACATACATTGTCCTTTTTCCTACTCCTACTCAGGTTCCGACAATTATGCCAGAACGCCGACATACGGTACGAAAATGAAAAAGCAGACAAAGCCGAACGGAGAAAAAGGGGGCGCTGGCAATTGGCCAGGCCTCACACTCTGCAACATTGACTTATACAGGTGGGCCTAGCGATAGCATCGGCCGGGTCGCTGGTCATTCAGGATTGTCGGATTTCGAGATAATTGTTGGCAAACATGGAGGTCTTCCAGATTGTCGGATTTCAGACGATTGTTGGCAAACATGCAGGTCTATCAAACCCTTAAGTGGCAGAAATGACAGCAAAAAGAAGCAAGAAACCACTTCTCCATCACCAACCACAAACACCACTGGAAACATCATATCCCTGGCCCATTGCCATAAGGCAATGCGAGTCCATCACGCGCTCACAACTTTGCATAGCTGCCTGCCAAATCTCCCCCCTCCCAAACACACAATGGGTCAAGATGGTAAGCAAACCCTTCAACAATACTCTCTGCATCCAACAAATTCAAGCTTTTCAAAGCAAATCTGCCAGAAATCATTAAGAAATGACTCTCTGGTTGACTTGTTAGCTTTGTTCTCATTGATATTTGCAAATCCAGCCTTGAAAGTTCATAATCTCTATCCCCCCCCCCCCCCCCCAAAAAAAAAAGCATTTAGGAAGTTTGAAAGTAACAATACCTTTAGTTTTAGTTTTAGTAGAAGGTTTATGGCGCTCGCAACTGCATAAGGTCATTTGAGCGCCAGAGGATTAGAGGTGTTACAAGAGAGTAACAAACACAAAAAAGAAGGAGGGGAGATAAAGACGATACATGTTTGACAGGAAAGAAGAAGCAAACCACACCAGAGCACCCGCCAACCACCCACTAACAATACCTGACAACAGGTATTTTCTGACACGAAAACTGACTTCCATACCCCATAAAAACACAGGTTTTTCATGTACTGGTCAGCAGCTCTGTCATTGCAAGGGCCAACACTAAGCCAACCCAGCCTGGGTGCAGCTGTACAGGGTTGCTCTGAGTAGAACGTGCAGTGCAGTTACAAAGCCATGAAAGCATTTGGTGCAGGGGAACTTTTTCAAACCCATCTACATATTCCATAACGGTCCGCAAGTTTTTTAAATCCTGACATAGGTACAACAAAATGCTGATTGAATACGTTAAGCAATGCGTGGAAATACAAAGTGTGGAATCTATTTTCTGTCCATCCCCAAATGGCAAGAATAATTTTTCAAGCACTCTCAATAAGCATTCATTAAAAAATTCAAAAGATTGTTTTCCAAAGATACGAAGCTATATATTTGAACAAAATTTGTAGAAGTTTACAGTCTAACTTGTTTACGTCAGACCGTGAACAACTGCAATCCCTATTACTATCATGAGTACACAAAAACCCTCATATCCCAGGCTTCATGGTGTTGCATGATTAAACAAGCTTTGACCTCAAACACCTGCAACTGGGCTCAAATACAACAAGACCAGAATGCAAAAAAGGGAAAACTTTTGCAATAAACTCAACTGGATGCAAACAAGAGATTTCAACAATGCAATCCCCAAAAGCAATTCAATACACAAAATATTTTCAATGCAAATGAAGAAATGGATGAAATCAAACAAACTTGTTACCCTTTACAAAAAAAAAATCAACAAAAAATCATATGTCCCTGAACAAGAATGTGGCCTTAAAATAAATAAATAACCAAAAAACAAAGAGCAACTTTAACATCACCTTCTTGCATCTCTTGGTAAATAAACTTGATGTGGCATAGAACCTATGTGCAAAAAATGAAGGAATTTTAAAACTACCAAGAAGACCTAAAAGAAATGGTATGAACCGGTGCAAATATGATACATGTATATGTTGAAAATAATTTCCAATATTTGAGCTCCAGACAAGTATGGACTGTTGGTGTAGTACGTGTTTTTACATCTACACCTACACAATTTAGACTATTTCAGGAGGCGGGGCTTCGACCCTGCCTGTCAGGACAGAAGAAAGACTGAGATAAGATAACTTTTTAAAAAATTCTCCCCACTTAAAGAATGGACGGTCCACCACTGTATAAACCTAATTCAAAGAAATGCACCGGTCTTTTCATGACAGCAAATTGAGGACTTGGTTCTCAGAGGTACCTAAGTATTTTAACTTTTAGAGCTGAGCTTGGCGCTCAAACGGGGACACATATGACAACCACTGGTGGCGATTATAGACCACTCAATTTATTTTGAAAGAAGGAATCAACTGAGGAAGCATAAACTGTATTCAGGAGGGATTCACTAAAATAATTCCAAAACATCTCAACTCTACAAGCAAAGAAAGGAACCCCCCAACAAAGCATCAAAATAGACTGACCCACAACCAGACACAAATTCACTCAGAGAGATGAGCAGAAAAAAAGAGAGAGAGAGAACCATCATCAAACACAAGTGTACCTCGTTACCAACCTGGAGTCACAAAAACAGAGCACCACCTCATCTACTAAACTGAGCTAATCCTTCCATATAAACCGTTTCTATAATGAAAATATAGCAATCTCTTTCCAGTCCAGCCTTCAAGACAAATCAGCGTACATACATTACAATAACTGCAGAAAACAAGACCGACCCACTGTTGAGTAACCGTGATTTAAGTGGGCTAAATAGACTACAGTGATCTACTGCCAGCTCAAAAATGAATCACAATTTAGACAAAGGGGAAGCAGACATGGCAACCTGAACAACCACAGGTTCAAACGTTTATCCCAAACACAACAGGAAGTGCCACAAGAGCTTGGAGTTTGGGTAGAGAGGAGCACATTGACCTAACAAGTCATATAGTGAACAGAAGAAGCAAGACAGTTAGACGGAGACAACAGGAGGGAAAGAAAAGAAGTAGGACAGCCAATGTCCCCCCTTCAACCAACCACATCATGAGCGCCAGTCTTCATTAAATTCAGCCATTAAAGCCTACTTTTTAAGAGGAACAATTTTTGATAACAATCACCTTGAAAAGATTTTTGCAAGAGAAAAGAGAACCCACACAATAGTCATTCAGTGCAGAGAAACAAGACAGACGGACAGAAACATCAGAACAAGAAAAGAAGGACCAACAAGCAGCAACCTCAAACCACCCGCCAGACAAAAAATAGGAAGTAGATCACACCACAGTGACCATCAACCTCTCCTTTACAGAAACAGTCAACTCTACACACACACACACACAAAAAAACAAAAAACAAACACAAACCCAAGAACTTTTCATGTTGTCACAAAATGGACATTATTAGACAAGGGAAATATCTTGTGACGTTACACCATGGTGGTTTAATTAAAAAAATAACTCCTGGGGTGATGACATCAGTTGCTTACCCGGCATAAACATTGTGGGCGGGGTACCGGAGACCTGCGGGTGGATACCAGCGGGCATTCCTTGCATGCCGCCGTGAATCAAGTGTGGCCCTCCCTGAGCATGGTTGTGGGCCGGATTGGGGGGCATCTGTGGAGGCCCTGGGAAACACAGACAGACATATACATCAGATAAGTTGATGGATGTCTAATATGAAAGAAAGAGCAAACCACAACAGAAAACACACGCCAACCATCCACTTACAAGAACACAAGTCAAATCTTTTACTTTAGTGGGCATCAGACTTGACAACTATCTCAAAACCCAATCACACACACCCAACTTATCATAAGATTACAAAACAAAACAAAAAAATTACATAGGTGTGGTGTATGAGAAAAGTTTATGGCCACAGTAAAATTAAGTTAGAAATAACAAACACCACACAAAATAAGTTCTAAATTCAACCCCCTCAAAGTGGTGGAGGAGGAAAAATATCCTCAAATTCCAGATTGCCGAATCTTGGACAGTCCCATGAAATCTTGACAGTTAGCAAGCCATAGTTCACCAATATCCCAAAATTTATTCTTAGCCAATTCCGCTGGCCAGAGAGCTCAAACTCAGATAGCTGCTGAAATATATTTTTAAAAAAAAGAAGTAGGTAACCCCAAAAGTCCTTGAAAAAACTTAAGGAAAGGCAAGACCAGTATAATAAAAATCCTAATTGCATTCTGTAGTGCACATTCACACATCCCAGCATGCTGTATGTGCTTTACGACTACCATGACCACTACCTTGCATAAGATTATGCTGGGCCTGAAAGGGCAGTCCGGCGGCAGTGTAGGGCTGTGTGGCATGCTGCTGCATGGGCCCGTGGGCCTGAGGTCCGGGCTGGGGCATGACCACGTACTGGGGCTGGGGACCCGGCCCGTGACTGCTGTTTTGGGAGGTCTGCGGCTGGGGGGCGGGGGCGTATGTGTACTGCGCAGCGCTGACGTTGTTGGCGTACGAGTACTGCTGCGGTGCCGACATGCTCAGCGGGTAGCTGATGCTGCCCGCCCCTCCCCCGCCCGCCGATGGGTGGTGGTGGTGGTGGCCCACCGAGCTGATGCTCTGCTGGCCTGCCGCTGCGGCTGCTGCTGCTGCCGCCGCCATAGAGGTGCGGGGCTGGATGCCGTGCTGGGCCAGCGCGGCAGCCGCGTTCATCTGCTGGTAGTGGGAGGGCTGGGGTGTGGCCGACTGTGGGGGTCCCTGCGACATGTGGTGGTGGGGGAGGGCCTGTGGACCTCCGCCCCCGTGCTGCTGCTGGACCGGGGAGGGGGCGGGGTTTGGGGCGTGCACTGTCTGAGGCTGTGTGGAGGAGGGGTGGGGCAAGGGCTGACCGTGGGCAGGTTGAGGGTGAGGAGGCATCAAGACAGGCTGCTGGGCTGTCACTGTAGGGACAGACAGACAGAAACAAAATAAGTCAACTGATAACAATGAAAAAGAATCATTGTATTTACAAAGGAGATATCCATGCTCTACAGCATGCTTTAAGAGCTGAATTTTTACAAAACCAACAAAGAAACCCACCAAACAACACACACAACAAAAGTTAACATCTTGTCAAGAAAACACAAAATACAAAGAACTTGCCAAAACAAAATAAAGATACAAAGATTTGGCTGGACACCCCCCCCCCCCCCCCCAAAGCAACCTACAACCGAAAACAAATGTCATTTATCTTTAGAAAAAATGTATTAACCCCTTCAAAACGTATGGTAGTTCCCAACTTTTACTGCATCCAATTTTTACAAGCCAGGACTTTCAAAGCTATTGTAGTGCAGTTATAACATCCTGTATGGTGTACGTAGCAGCAAGGTCCACGCAACTGTCGGAATTGGATTGATTTTTTAGGACATACATTGTATGGGAGGACAGCATTTTGGCACACAATGTTGGACGTATGGTGTACACGAGTTGTCAAAAAGGGGTTAAAACTTAAACTTGAAAAAAATAGAGAACCAATCAATAAATCTACTAAAGGGGGCCAGTATAACAAACTTTCCAGAACACAAACTAAACAATCTTGGAGGTACAGACGTCTGGTGTAATGGTAAGGAGCTTCACTGTCTCAAGAGACCCAATTCAGGTGAATTTTTGAAGAGTATTTCAGTCTTTCTGCTGGGATGTTGTATCCCCCTCACCCCAGTTTGACCCCAACAGGCAGGGTCGGAAGCCTGCCTCAGAAATGGGTCTAAATTGTGTTGATGGGGGCGAAAAAACAATGACTTTTTTTCTCTTTTAAATTCACACTAGAGGAATTCTCTACTCACTGAAGACAGGCTGAGGTTGATTCTGTGAGCCGGCTTGCTCCAGGTTAGCGTGCTGACCACTCTGACCCATGGCTAATGAGTTTGGAGCCACCATCCTTGGTGGATTGCCCACATTTATAACCTGTGAAAAGCAAAAATGGCAATGCAAAAGTTAAATACATACAAGTCGAAATCCACTCACTTTGTAAAGGAGGAAAGTGATTTTCTAAGAGACGGGTTGATGAAGTGGGGAAAGTGGTCGTTTATAAAGGCGATTGTCTTGGACAGGTGGCCGCTGGAGCCGGTTCAATTGTATCCATCATTTTAAAACTTAAGCTTACAATTAACAGAAATTCTACACGTACATCAGTGCTTGAAAACTGACAAACATATCAAAGAAATAATTTGATTGTAACTAAATTAAATTTCTCAAATCGAGAATACGACTCGTAGAATACACAAGGCAAAAAATAGGGATAATTAATCTAGCACACTATCCATAAAACACAGCTATCTTTGATAAAGAAAACAGGAACCAGCAACATTTGACTAGAATGGAACATTCTCCCTCACCAATTCATTAAAAATTTTTAATATCTTTAAAAAAGAGGAAAAGGAAGAGGTGGGGGAGAAGACATAAATTGAGAAGATGAAGAAAAAGAAGAAGTAGACGTTTAAGGCGCTCGCAACTGCACAAGGTCATATTAGTGCCAAGGGGTGGATGTCAACAAAGAAGTCCTATCAGGCTTACTCTGCTCACCTCTCTAGCTTCAACAGCACAATGTCTGCTTCGACTATCAAGGCACTGCGGAAGTAGCTGGTCACAAGAGTGTGACAAAACATACAAAAGAAGTAGAGGATAATGACGATAGTAAGGAATAGGAAAGAAAAAGCAGCAGTTCTCTGTTGCAGTTCAGGCAGTTATGAGCATGACATTGCTGAATCAGCCCATTTACAATTCTACTATGCATAAGAACATGTTAATGTCCCCCCTTTGGGAATGGCCTAAAGAAGAAAAAGGGATTTTTGTTTGTTTAGTAAGTATTTTACGACACTTGCAACACAATATGGTCTTATAAGTGCCGAAGGTGGCACAAGAGAGTAACAAACACAAAATAGAAGGAGGGGAGATAAGGGTGATAGATGATTGATAGGAAAGAAAAAAGCAAACCACATCAGAGCACCCGCCAACCAACCACAAGAAGAAAAAGAAGAAGAGGAGGAGGAGGAGGAGGAAGAGGAGGAGGAGGAGAAGAAGAAGAAGAAGAAGAAGAAGAAAAAAGTCACAAAATGAGCTATCCAGTTTCCCCACCTGATAGCCTGTGCCTTGAGTGGGGAGATGCTGAAATATAACAGCAGACTGTGTGGCCAACAGGGGCTGTCCAGTGACCTGGTGGGCCGTCAACGTCTCGTTGACCACAGCCGGACCCACAGAAACTGTTGCTGGAGACAAAAAATAATATGTGAATGAGTTCCAATTTTGAGCACATCGACATAAGCAGCGGCCATAAAGTGCAAGGAAGAAGTGAGATGGATAGAGAGAAACAGGAAGAGGGAAAGAAAAGAACTATGACCTACCAATGGCACTCTCCAACCATCCCCACAAATTTTAAGTGACTTTGGGTAAAGAAAAGAACATCAATACAATGACGGGCCACATATTGGAGGGAAGAAGCCACACCGATAGAAACAACAAACGGGGAAAAAAAGAAGTCGGGCCTACTAATGGCGTCCTCCAACCACCCACGATAACTATGTAAAGGAGTTTGATTAATAAGAAGCACATTGGCACAATAACAGTCACCTGTGTAGGGAAGAAGCAAGACGGACAGACAGAAACAACTGAAGGGAAAGAAAAAAGAAGTAGCACCTACCAGTGGTGCTCTCAAACCACCGGCATGTAAAGAGTTCAAATTCTTGATTGACGCTAGAGGGATGAGGTAACCCAAGAACAACTTGCTTTGTGAAAGTGACTACATAAGTGACGGGCACAGACCAGGATTACGTTTTTAGAGAGCACCCGAGCATGAAAATGAGAAAGGTAGAAAGAATAAAATATTTTAAAGTATAGAGCTTGATATTGAGCAGGAATTTGAGCCGAACAAATATTTATCATCATTTATCAAAATACTTGAATTGTTTCAAGACTCTTAACACAGACAACAGAACAATCCTTACCTTTCTTCCTAGAGATGGGCATGAGTGTGGGGACGGGCGCAGGGATACCGACAGGCATGTAGCCCGCCGAAAAAACGTTAGGGTACGGGGCAGGCACCTGAGGCACGTACTGGTGGGGAGACACTCGCGGCTGGGGGGAGGGCGACTGAGCCTCTACAGGCGTCGCTACTGCCACCATAGGTTTCTGCATTGGTGGGTGGGGAAGAAGACAGTGAGATCAGTAGTACTTATGGTGAGTCAACAATCTAACGTCAGCACATTCACATTTTGAAAGACAAATAAACCCTCTCTAAGATGGGACAAGAAAGCTCCATGTCTCTCGCCAGCTAAATGTGAACGAGCAGATCATTACTACTAAGTGGTTTGAGTGTGTGTGTGTGTGTGTGTGTGTGAAAGAGCGAGTGTCTGTTGTGAAAGTGAGGAGGATTTGGTTGTCATATCATACAGTTGGACAACACGTTAACATCGCCATCATTTTGCAAGAATAGATCAGCACACACACAAAAAAAAGAAGTGTCTACATTCTGTAACGATAGAGAATGTATACAAGCTGTCTACGTTCTCTAATGAATCAAATATAGTAACAAGCCTGTGTTTGAACTTCCGTATGAGGCTGGGCTACTTTTCAATCATTCTTTTTTTCAAATTGAAATTAGTTTGCATCATGTTTTGTCGTTAGATCTACATCATACAGGTCCGCCATTTCACTCACTCAGTTATATTAGGTTACTTCAATTCACTGTTGGTTCGTAAAAAAGAGGTTAGGTACAAGCAACTGAGGTTTGATTTAATTAAAGATCTCTAGAAATCAAAACTGCCCTGAGGGTCATACACTAGATCATCGTAGACCTACTGTTGATATGACAGACTTGACCTCGACCCAAGTGATTTGATCGAATGACAGTGATGTCATCACATCACACATCAAATCGGCAATGTTTTCCAACACATTCGAATTTGATATTATTTATGGTCTCTCACGTAGGCTATCTCATACCTTGGCTTTGAGGTGGGAATTTAAAAAATTGCATTTAAACTGCAAGCTATCTTCTAAATTCTAATTACAGAAAGCCTGATCCTTCAGTGACTTATTCAATAGTTGGGGGGGGGGGGGGGGGGGGGGGGAGAGAACAGAGGAGAGGAGAAGAGGATATCAGAGTGCATCTTCCTTGTGTGAAAAGTGGACCACTACCTCCATCATCACTACCAACAACAACAGCCGTTTCATTACACACCTTAATCATATTTTTTTTTATTTTGGAACCATTGTTTTAAGGGAAGTTAAACATAATCATCATCATAATGTAAGCCAAGTTGTTCAAAAGTACACTGTCATTTCTGTTAGATCTATTTTAGTTTGATTGATTACTTCTAGAAATAGCCGGTTTGTTGATGTCTCATATGAATCCACCAAAAAATCTGACTGCGCCGGGTATTTTTATGTTTGTGGAAACTGACGATCACGCTTCTGCCTTTGGGTGGGCTAAATAAAATCCATGTGCAAGTTCATGAACTGATTGCCGTGGAATGAATCAATTATTGGCATCATTGATCAAAAAAAGTTCAGTCTTAGGGAGTCTTTCAGTTGTTCCATTCGTCTTTCTTTAATAAGCTTGATTATGTCATTAGTGTCCTCATTGTCTGTGCATGCTTGTTTTGTTTTGTTTTTTCCCTGCTTGCATGCTAAAGCGAAAGTTTGCGAGGGTTAGGCTTAGCACACATATACTGTATACTATGACAAGACATGGCTCAAAAAGAATCAGCATGCACACTCCTCCCCTCACTTGAACACACGCTTCACAACGCGACTAGCGCGAGGAAACTGCTTATGTGAGGAGTGCCCTTAAAACTATACTGAACACTTTAGCTTACACATGTGAGGCTGGCCTTAGACAGAGCGAGCTATTTTTAAGTTCTCTACTAACATTAGAGAATGTAGACAGCTTGTATACTCCACAGCTTTCCCCACTCACGTATGCATATCACCCAAAAACCATAGATGGTAATGACAATTACGAAAACAGTATTGAAATACTGCAGTCGTCAGTTACTTTTGACGATTTTTCACACAAAAAGACAACAAGGTAGGATTGGTGCTACAGAATCTAGATGACCATACTTACAGAAGAGGGTTTAAACTCCTTTGCCATAGGGTTCAATTTTGACCCCTTCAGACTGGAAATAAAGGAGAGACAAAAAAAAAATGATTGAGCAATAATAAACATTTCCAGGAAAAAAGCTGAGGGGGTAATACATAGCCTACAAATGTACAAAAAGAATATAATATAATATAAATGCACACAGACTTAGAGACGTGTTGCAATTTTATCAAAACTGGCGTACACGCAACTGGCATACACGAGTGCCAACTGGACAGGGCATGATGGGAATACATCTTGACAATTTCAGGAACTCGAATCTACTCAGAAATTCAAAAACTCTGCTTTGTAATAGATACCATCACTCTTTAAAAAACTCAGATAGACGCAATAAGATTATTTTTATCTCAAATATATCAACACATATGAGTACACAAATGCTTCAATATCAAGTGCAGTCCATAAAGAGACCCCTCTTTTTATTTAGTCCAGTAAAATCAGTATCTCTATATTACAAAAGAAATCAAATTTAAACTTCCAAAGAAAAATTGTATTTAAGGTAATGAGTAGTGGGATACCAACTCACAGAAAGTAGCATGTCCTATCACAACTCTATATCTAACAAAAATGCTACCGGAATTTTGTGAAAATTCATTAAGTTGCATTTGCAAACAAAAAGACAATAGATGATACTAATATGGGGGGGAACAGAAAATTTTAGGAAGAATTAGCCATGAAAGAAGCTGCATGAAGACAACCTTGAGACCATCTTAAGCTAAATTGACCGTCTGCATAGACGAAAAGAGCCATACAAACAGAAAACTAACGATGAGAATAATAACTGTTGTTCTAAAGCTATATATGAATCAATGACAATGGAATAACGGTAACTCAGATTTAAGTTCATTAGCACTACACCATTAGAGGGGGGGGGGGGGGGGGGGGGTGTCTCCCCCCCCCCCCCCCCCCCCCCCCCCACCACATCGAAGGAACAAAATTCCTTACATATCAGAATCCTGCTTATCAGCAGACTTGGCGGCTGCATCAGAAGGTGTTTCACTGGTTTGATTGGCTGGCTCAGAGGCGGGGCTTGCTGTGGAGGAAGTGGTGACAGACACCTGAGGGACGACAGAGGCGCCGGCGGAAGGCGGAGGTCCGGATGTGTCAGTTGGTGGCTCGTGCTGGCCGTCCTGCCTCGACGACGCCTCGGGCACACTGCTTGTGCCTTGAGACTCCTGGTAAGCGGGAGAAAGGAGGGAATTAGAAAAAAAAAGGATGGGAGGAAATCCAATGAAGAAAAAAATACCCTGAGAAATTCAAACAGCACTTCAGAGTACAGTCGAATCTGCCATAACGACCACTCTTAGTTTCAGTAAGAGTTTTACGGCACTTGCAACACAATAAGGTCATATAAGTGCAGAAGATTAGAGGTGTTACAAGAGAGTAACAAACACAAAAAAGGAGAAGAGATAAAGGACGATAGATGTTTGATAGAAGAAGCAAATCACACCAGAGCACCCACACCGTCACCCCCTGCATTTTTTTTCTATCTAATTTAACTGTGTAAAATATGTTCACCTGTCCGACAAGGCAGCGACCATCTTTTACCAATCCACAGTCTAATTTACCTGCCTCAGGCGGCCAAGTGTGGTCACTCATTGCCCGACGCTTTGTTATAGATTTTTAATCATTTCCTCACGCTGTGGAAGGGTTGTCATCCTTCATTCACCTGTCGTTATTGTTAGTTCATGTAGTGAATGTTTCAATGGGTAGGCCAAACAAGAAATTTTCCAACTGCTGGTGAGGGAAGCCTGATCTGTTATAACCTATAAGCCCCATCCACAACACATGCACAAATCGTGTGAGAGGTGACTGGTCACCGTTTTGTTTACCTAATCTGTAACAAAGTAACAATGGACGTTGACATGAACTTGCAATGGAAGTCCGTTCAAGATATCTTAAAATCTTTTTTTGCTTACAGCAGTATATTTTATTGCCTTTTCGCGTGCTAAATTTCCGTGTATGGAGGTGAATAATAAGGTGACCAGTTTTTAGAAATAGGTGCCATGACGTTGAGAACCTAGCACACGGTCTTGTAACTGACCACATCATCAAACTCTTACCAGCACAAAGTTTTGGTGGAAGTCCTGAAGCTGCTGGTTCACTTTGTTCCTAGACTCCTCTGCAAAGAGACATAAATACATCAGAATATTAACAACTATGGATTTTAACGAGGTATCAAAATCTTCGTTCTTTACACCAAACACAGGAGCTATGCAAGCAAAATCAACACTTTCTTAAATCTTTCATTACTTTTGTTTTCTCTCTCTGTGGTAGTTTGCTGGCATAAGCTCGTTTATTCATTTTGAAAGATAGTACAGTAATGTAAGAGTTTAACATCATTTGTGTCACAAATATGCCATTTAAGTGTCGTCACTTGCGTCACATATGGGCCATTAAAGTGTCGAACATTAAAGGTGCTACTATAAAGCAACCCCCACATTGAGATGAGATAGAAATCAATTTGTTATATTTAACAAAAGTACACTTTCACCTATTAAACGAGAAAAAAAACTTCATTTTCTTTCTCTAGAAAATCCCAACACAGATCAAGGAAGACTGGTTCAATTCTGATTTTGAGACACAATGGTCAGCAGATGTAAAAAATCAGCTGGCTTATGGTTGAAAAGCGTGCAACACCAAACACCTGAAATTTTGCGTAAGAGTGCGGGAAATAGAAGAAGAAACAAGTATCCGCACACAGCAGGACATTGTAAATTATAATTGTACAAATGGGAATCAAACTCTCATCTGAGAAAGACAGCAAGCAAGCTAACTGTTACACCAGAGACACTTGTCCAGTGGGACAGAAAAAGCTAAGAGTCGAGTCTTTCATTAGAGTGTATGAGCAGGTAATACAGTCAAAATTTTCAAAGATGTCTGACCATTGTCGAGAAGAAGCGTGGTTGTTTTAGACATGTGGATATCCCGGACCGAGTCATTGTTTTTGTTTTTCTTTTACACAGGAAGGAGATTAGAATGTCGTCATTTGGACAGGTGGCTGTAAAAGCAGGTCTGACTATGGACGAAAAAAAACCCCCAAGACAGTGAGACAATGATATATCTAACAGTCACAGACCAGGGCTGGTTTCGACACCTCTAGAAGTCCTCCGGTCGGAACCTCCAGCAGACGGCGGTGACGCTGACGTTGATGCGGCGGCACTACTTTGTGCTGCTAGCTCGCCGCTATCTGGCGGCGCAGGTGCTGATGACGAGGGGGGGCCTGCTGCAACAGGTATGGAACCGTCATGAACCTTCTGTGATGAGGGCACAGGGGCGGCCTGTTGTTGACCCCCGACCTGCGCCTCCGTCCTGTGGTAGGCTTGGCTTGGTGTTGGATTGCTTATGTCCAACTGCTGCAAGACTTTTTGACTCGCTTCTGGATTGCCCGGTTGCCCATCTGAATTTTTTTAGCAAAAGGAAGGCAGAAAAAGAAAAGAATTGAAGAACTTACTTTTACTTACAGCCGCTTATACCGTTTTGGGTGTTGCGGGAGGATAGAAGACACCAGAGTAAAGCGATTATTTTTTAGCAGTATTTAAACAAGCAAATCACAACTTATAAGACCTAAAACATGACAATTAAAACGGTTGAGATTGTCTGAAAATTTTGCGCCCCCCCCCAAAGAGCTTTTGTGGGTGTCATAAGGAAGGACTTCCGAGTAACGAGCCACCACCCTCAAAAAACACAATAAAGAAGAGACCCAACCCTAACCCTACCCCAAAAAAAGAACCTACAACGGGCCTCATGTAAAAAAAAGCCAGCACAAGTCCAAAATGAAAAAATTAAATTTTTTTAAAAACCACACTCCAAAAAAAATCAAGGAGCATAATATGGCGTACAACATCAAAATCTAGATTCTACATTGCAATGAATAGGGTTTGATACAATAACACGATAGTATTGGAATATGAATCCTCCATATATAGATCTAGATCTTGTAGAACAAGTGAATATGAATAGGCCTTGGCCTTGAACTAGAAATCCGCATCCGATTCCGAACAGAGGGAGGGACTCAGCTGAGTCTAGATCTAGAATCCATAGATCTAGATCTATATCTAGAATCTAATAAATAATTCACGCACCTGATAAAATGCTTTTTACCAACATTAATATTACAGTACAACCTATGATAGGGTTTGACACAATAGAATTGGAATATGAATCCTCCATTGAGGCCTATAATGATCTTTATAAATCTAGATCTAGATCCTATTAGAAAGAGTGAGTCAGACTTGAATGAATCCACACGATCTGAACAAATGAATTAGTCAACAAACGAAATTCAAAATGGCTGCTCGAGCACAAAACTGAAAGTAGATAATTTAGGTCGTCGTCCTTTTTCGTATTCGCATTTCTACTCAGGTTCCGACAATTATGTCAGAAACGCCGACGTCAGCAGTGCCGAACGTGCCGACAAAGCCGACGGGAGAAAAAGGGGGCGCTGGCAGTCGGCCAGGCCTTGCACTACGCACATTGACTAATACAAGTGGGCCTAGCGATAGCATCTGCCAGCTCGCGGGTCGGGTCACGATTGTCGGATTTCAGACGATTGTCGGCAAACATGCAGGTCTATCATTCATAAAAGCTTATGTGTTTTCATACAAAAATAACATACTCTCATTCCCCCAGATTACAAGAGAGGGGGA